TAGCAAGCAAACAGTTTCTCGACTTATGTTTGTTATATCATTTATTTTTTATAACTTACTAAAACTATATATATCGAAGTAAATTAAGCTTTAGACTTTTTTTTTACTCTTATTTTCAATAATATATTATGCATTCGTACTGCAATCAATAAAGTTCAACTCATATGACGGAACATTTAAACGCACGAGAATATCAATCATAATTATATTCTTATGATACATGGAAAATCTACGGAGGCTTTGCGGAGAAAATAAAATCCAAATAACACAAAACTACTAGCTCAATATAACAAGTCAAGAGTGTCAGTGTTATTTTAGATGGTCACTCAAACGCTATGAATCCAAGAGGAATGAGGGATTATCGAACTCTGCAATGGTTTCCGCTAGTAACATCGTCCGTGAAGGTGATAACGTATATTGCAAATCCTTCTGTGATATACTTATAGATAAATAGTTTTTTTTTATATCTTTATTAATTTCTGTATATATATCGCAGTTCTATTAATCAAACTTTACCAACCACTACATAATATAACTTTTATTTTTATAAGATCATTTCACCTTTACAAATACCAAAGGGCAAAATGAATGCTACTCGCTGTAGAAAAATATATTTAAACTTCCAACACCCACGCCTAGTCTATTTCATATTATTATGTGAAATTATTTCTTAAGAAATGAATAGAATTTTCCTCCCACTGAGAGACATTTAATTGGTTTTTACTATAAAATTTTTAGTTCTCGAACTATACTTTACGTAAACAATTCATTAATAGTGACTGAGCCAAAACAAATTCTCTCACATCATCGCATCACCAGCCTATTGCTTCTCAATACATATAGAAGATCTTAATATATGTTCGTAAAAATATTAGTTTGTTTTCTATAAAAATTGATGTACACAAATTTTATACTAGAAATAAAAATAAATTAACGGTGCCTGTCACTTGATCGCAAAAAAATAATAATTCATTCAGGGGTCTTAGTATGCACTTCTACAATAAGGTCCCAAGCAAAATACAACAATTAGATATCATGTACTTTAAATCTACTATTAAAATACTTATTAAAAAAGCTTATATCCTATATATCTGATTATATAACAAATAAAAATGATTGGACTTAAGAGGGTCGAGCAGTTGAATAGGTGCTTTCTTTTAAACTGTCATAATTATCTTGTTACCATTATTATAATACTATGATCATTATAAGATCATAGTTTTTTTTTATATATTTATAATAAGACGATCGAGATCTGTTCACGCCTTCGCTCTTGCACAGGACTTAACACAACTGGTAACTACGCCTACGCGAATCCCAGTCATGAACCTTCACGGTTGGATCTTTTGTTAACCTCCCATCCCGATGGCTTCTTCATATCTGTTAACGCTCCACTTGGCTCCTCGGACCACTGCCTTATTAGGAGTACAGTGCCACTCACGTGCTTGCAACGACCACGTGTTGCACGTAATCGCCGTGTGTGACATTACAAGTCGGAAGACTGGGATGGATTGCGGTCTTTTTTTGCATCCTACCCTTGGAAACGTATCTGCTTTGCGCCGGATGATCCCAACAACGCCGCCGAGTCTGTTGCTGATGTGGTGCTTCAGGGTATGGAAACTTTCATTCCGTCCTCGATTGTCCCTATCGGTGGCAGATTCCAACCTTGGTTTGGTCAGTCCTCGAGAAAGGCTTCTCGTCGAAAGCGGGAATCATACCAAGCCTGGGCAAATGCGCGGGATGTAAATGCATGCCTTCAGTTCCACCATTACATAAAGATAACTTCTCATTAGCCCATGATGCAAAAGAGAAAGCCAATCTCCTGTGTAACTTTTTTGCATCCAACTCGACTTTGGATTACCGTGGGCTAAAACCGCCCACCATTCCGCGGTGCGAAAGCTCTATGCCTGATATCCGGTTTCACCAAGCTCAGTGCGTCTAGCACTACTCTCCCTGGATATCCACAAGTCGAGATGGCCCGATGGTATCCCCCCTATTGTGCTAAGGACGTGCGCTCCAGAGCTGGCACCGGTCTTAACACGCCTATTCCGGCTTTCTTACTCATCTGGCGTCGTCCCAACCTCATGAAAGACTGCTTTAGTGCATCCGATCCCAGAAAAAAGTGAGCCGCTACTTTCCGCCATCGTTCCACGCGACAAGACATCCACGCCCATCATTTGGATGGTTGAAAATCCTCAACTGTGCGTTTTTCTAGAAGTTTCCTGCCTCGCACAGTCAAACTCTGGAACAGTTTGTCGCCAGCAGTATTTTCGGACCGATACGACCTTCAAACTTTCAAGTGTAGAGCATATTCGTCCCTCATAGGTCGGCAGCGCGCTTGTAGCTCCTCCGGTGTTGCAGGTGTCCATGGGCGGCGGTAATCACTCACCATCAGGTGATCCATCTGCTCGTCTGCCCCCTATCCCATAAAAAAAAAGATTATTCGTCTATGATTTTATTAATTACCCCACAGTAGGGTACAGAGCTTCCCTATGAACAGAATTAAGTCAAACCGAACGCGCTAACCAGAACACCGTCGAGCAAAAAAAAACACTTTTTATACCATAAAACTCTTCGGTGCAAAATATTCCCTGTCACCTTGTTTGAAATAATAATACTTTCACAATTTCCATGGTTGAATACCTTCCACACGTGCGGCGTGTCCAGATTAAATTTCCGCTTGGAATGAGATTGGGAAATATAACAAAACGTTTGAAATATTATAGAAAAATATTCACCTACACATTGTATAAAAAGAAGTCGCTTCCCGCAATCTGTACGCAGAGATCTTTTATACTACACAGGTTAACATAGATAAACAGTGATTCATAAGGGAGGATTATTATATATATAGCACAGGACAACGCAAGCAGGGCCGTTTGCGGAAAGCTAGTCAAAAGTTCTTTTTAATAAAAAAATATTCGAAAGTATTACTCGAACACACTGAACTATTAACACGTCGAAAAATTACTTACGAGCCCCTCTTACAAACGGGGTTTATTGACAAAATAAATTGAGACCTTTACTTAATACTGTGTTGTGCGGCGTATGATAGAGACTGACAAAAGAGTGACCTATCAACAGATTCGGACAAGCTTAGGCATCGGTATGAGTCAAGTGCACAAAATCCTCCACGAACATTTAGCGGTCAGGAAGCTTTGCGCCCGGTGGATACCTCATAATTTGACTGAGGCTCAAAAACTCCATCGTGTGGATTGGTGTCGTAAAATGATTGAAAGATTTAACGGAGGTGACTCAAATGCTGTGTTCGACATACTAACAGGTGACGAAAGCTGGATTTACTGTTATGATCCTAAAACCAAAAGACAATCTGCTCAGTGGGTGTTTCCTTTCGAGGAGTTGCCAACTAAAGTGAAGAGAGATCGAAGTGCGGGAAAAAAAATGGTGGCCTCGTTCTTTGGAAGGATAGGTCATTTTGCAACAATTGTGTTAGAGGATCAAAAAACAGTTTCTGCAGAATGGTACACTACCAATTGTTTGCCACTTGTCTTGGAAAAAGTTCGAGAGAAACGACCTCGCAGTAGGATCCTCCTTCACCACGACAACGCCTCGTCGCACACCGCCAAGCGAACGATCGACTATTTGGCGACATCAAACGTTGAATTACTGGGTCACCCGCCGTATAGCCCCGACCTCGCGCCTTGTGATTTTTATTTATTTCCAAAAATTAAAGAAAAACTTAAAGGAAAGCGGTTTATGAATGCTGAAGAAGCGGTGGCTGCGTATCGCGATGCCATTGAAGAGACCTCTAAGGACGAGTGGGCAAAGTGCTTTTCCCAGTGGTTCCATCGCATGCAGCGGTGTATTGACGTGAATGGACAATATTTTGAAAAGATATAATAAAACTAATAACTGGCTAATGTAATCAGTTTTTGATTTTCTAAGAACTTTCAGTTTGACCCTCTAAGCACTAGAGGAAAACACTTGAAAATCTGTTTTTAGGATGCATTCAGACAAACAAATGCATCGCAGGAAGTTTATTGTATATATATATTTTTTTATTACGTCAATCAAACATTACCAAATGCTTATGTGATACCAAATATACACATAAAAATGCATGGTTTTTATATTTTTTTTCTTCTTTGTAATATTACATTAAGATTAAAGTGTCAGTGAAAATTAGTAAATATTGGATCATGTTTTTATTTAATTTTTGTATCTAGCTTGTAAGCAAAACACAAACTTCTCAATAGATCCAACAAAATAAAAATATAAAACTCTATTTATTCAATCAATACTGCATATACCCAGAGAGCTTTGTTTTATTAATCAAATTATATGTTAAATATTGAACTGCTAATAAGTTATATATTTACGGCACTCAAATGATAAACCTCTTACTTTCAAAGCAGACCTAAGTATAAATAATTAATCCATGTTTATCACAAGAAAATTTCGTGAAAATCTACTCAATTATATAAGCAACATTTTGCTTGCGAAATAAAGATAAACAAAGAATAAGCAATGAAAAAATTACAGTCTCATTTTTATGAAGTAACTCAAAGTTTAAAGATACTTTGCAAATGCAATTTCATCTTTATTTCCAACGTAATACGGTGTATAATTAAATATTATTAAAAAAAATTGTATGGACGTAACTTATAGTTTCATCGTCATGTAGATAGCTAATGTAATATGTTCTTAGCTTATTGTTGTTAATCCCCAATTAGGTACAACTACAACAATTCCCTAGCCTCTCTCATTACATAACACCCACATACCGAAGCGGATTGATTTTTGTTAGGCACTAAAGTTTTCACTACGCATGCGCCAATATTCGTACCCACACTCTTTCACAAAACTGAAGCACACAGTTACAACCCCACATCGCAGTTAACTCGCGACTTTGAGTATTAACTCCTTTGACTTTAAGCTCAATTTAGTACTTGAAAGATTTGATATGATATTTTTAGACAATACGTGCCTAATAAGTGGTGTACAAACGCGCCCTCTGTGATCACACAAATCGGGAAACTGGCTTGGCCTTTTCGCCTCAATATATTTCCTAAAAACCACGTTTTGGAACTTCCAGCGGGCTTCGTTGCACAATAAATTCGCGTTAAGTGTTCAGGTTTACGTGTTCAAAAGCATTTTTGAAGTGTTCGAAGAGAATTAACAATAGGAGGCGCACCTAAAAATAGACCATAGCCTTATATACTTGTAGGGAAATTTAGTCGCGAGGTTTCCATTCATAAAATACATTCATTTGGTGTTGGACGGTGTTGCAGCTGAGTTGGGATCTTCTTTACCGTATACAGAGAAGGTGTGAGCTCTGTCACATCTGATCAATACCTTCTGGGTGACGACAGTTTAAACAGCGCGTCCAAACCACACCGACAGAAAAATGTGAGTAACGGTTCCAACATAATTGTAACACTTTTTAGATAATCATTATGTTTGTTTTTTTCTAATATCAACTTAATATTTCTTAACTGTCGTTCTTATAAGTTAAAATTTAATTATATTACCTTTGTCGGTCGTTTAAATTATATTTTTTTGAAAATTTTCACCGTTTTAATTAGGTTGTTTCTTTATTTAACATCATAAGTTTATGTTGATCAATTTTTTTATCTTTTATTATAGGAATTATATAAAGAATTATTTAAAATTATTAGGTTAGATATTAGATCTGAAATAATAGAAATCATATCATTTTTGAAATTGGAACTTCTTTTTATTTCAAATATTAATTTATTTCTTCCCATTTCATACACAAAATGTTGTTCAATTGTTTTTATAAATCAATACCATGTTTGACTCCTATAAAGATTATGAATAATCTAGAGAATTCAAATTCATGTTTCGACCTAATAACATTTTTACCACCTCAAGTTTAGTGAACTCATCCGTCATCGACCCATCCCACAATTATGTGACTCAGCAATAAAAGTAAAACAAAGGGTAACTATAATACGTTATTAATTTCAAATAGAAAGACTAAAGTTTTTGTATTCAAATACTGGCGACATTTGTTTTGTAAGCATTCAAACTTTTTTTATTTATGGTTCGATTTCCTACAAGACTACGGGTGGGTTAGAATTTTGTACTATTTTATTACAATTAATAGAGAATTAAATTATAATATTAGAATAAGAACACTGTGGGTCAATTGCACAAACGTACATTAAGATTAAAAGTTTAAATTCTAATGCATGTTATGAATTTTAAAAAATGTATTGCTAATGTTACTTTAAACTAATGAGAATTTCAATAGACGTTTGCGTTACTTGCTGAAACACTGTCTTTAATCAAGCCTCAGGCTTAACTCATTTACATTAATTCTATTTTCATTTTTTTTTAATCAGTTATGGTATCTCTTTTAATAAATTTCTAAGTAATTTATGCCTGAAATATCTAGCTAACATTGATTGATCTTATGTTCGTTTCAACTAACATCATCACCTTTTTTAACCCTTGCCATTTGCCGATAATCGAAGCACTTACAAAACATTTTGTATCTAAATATTTCCATAATACAGTCTACCTAATGCCTCACATGCCTTGATGGTTAATGGATGTTCATGAGTTCACTTAGGCAAGTAAAATTTAATAAACACGTAAACAACCTGCAATATAAAACCACTATCAGCGCCTGAAATCTCAGTTCATTATACAAAAAAACTTGTACTTATTTAGAAAATTTTAATAAGGTGCCGGTCTCGGGAAGTTATTCTGAAACAATTATTATAAAATAATCAGATAGATAACGTTTTAATTTGTGAATGCTGTTTATTCTAAATCTAATATATACTAAGTTTAAAAATAAAATAGCTTTTGTTGTCAGCTCCGTGTTTCTTCGTCCGTGTTAAACGACACGATTAAAAAATATATTATAAATCAAAATTCTATTAACTAAAATAGTTATTTGAAATTAGCTTCAAAACTCTATCTATCTATATAAAGTACATTATGAGCCTAATCACATACTATTTAAATAAATATTTTAATAAATTATTAAGTTTATTTCACTGTATTTATTGTCGTATATTCGTAGTACCTCTAATTAAATATTTGAAATCCTTAACACCCAATGGCTTAAATATCCATTAAAATTGTCATTAGCTGAAGTAAAAATACGGATACAGAACGTGAGTTACTAAAATGTTCCCTAGTCTCTATAAACAATCATTTTTAAAATGTAATCCCACTAAAACATTTTCATGTAAAATGTTGCCAAGATGACACAATAAGATTCACACTGACAAAAATTTTTTAGATTTCATGTAGAGCCAAGTTTCTAATTCTACCCCAGATATTTGTGTTCTTGTTTAATTAACTCGTATTGAATAGTTGAAACATTTAAAGCTTATAAAATTTAATCAAAACATAATACTAGGTACTCACTTTTCTCGAAAATATGAACTAAAAATATATATATTCAGATTTTTATTATCTACTCTCAACTTCATTTCTCGAAGTAAATCAGAGCGTGTTGGAAGTAATCAGAGCTTTCAATCAAGGCATATAGAATAGACTCTATAAGCAAGAGTTCTCGTATTTTGCAACGCCACAATATTATATAAACACTGTGTGACGGGTTCGATGCTTAGGCAAATAAAATGAAACAGATAGAGTTATGATGCTGACTAAGCTTGAGAACTTGATTTATTAAAGAGCAACAAAAAAAATCCGTTTCTGGGTTTTCCGTAATAGATAGAATTTAGTAGATATTCCACGAAGATATATAAGACGATAAGATGTTTCTTATTTAAATAATATATGAATAAATTGTAATGTTCACGCCGTATGAATTTTTTACGAACCGACATTCATAAAGCATATTGGATTACTCAAAATTTAAAATTACGAAAGGTGATTAATAAAAAGAAATGATGTTGAAGATCACAGACAAAAGTTTGCATGCGAAAACCTAGGACAAAATAAACGGTGACGCACCGTTACAACAGTATATATTACAATATATAACATTCATATATTATATAACGGTGTTAATACACCGTAGATATTTTATCTGCTGTGCTATAAATTAACTCGGTTTCCTGATGTTTCAAAGAATAAAATTTGCCTATTGATTCTCCGTTGTGAAGGGAATACGAAAAACATACTGTGACGTGACATCTGACATATCTGAATGACAATAAACCCGAAAACTTTTTTATTTGTTCGCATTGAATTTACTCCGAAACTACTGGACTGATTTTAAAATTTCTTTTACCTGCAAATGGAAGTTACATACGCGGATGACAGGCTATAATTTACGCGAGCGTAGTCACGGTAAAATATGAAACAGCTCGTTGATATAAAGTATTAAATAAGTAAATTGATAATTTAATATTCATTTAGTAATTTATTAACATTTACATATTTATTTTAATAATAGTGAAGAACCTGAAGGTATATTGATAAAAAAAATGGTCATCGATCTCTGTGTGCAGTGAGTATCTTATACGTAGCAACGTTTTTATGTACATTTTTTTTTAATTTTTATCTCTGATATTAACAGTTTAAAAAAAAGAAAGAAAGGTGGAAGAAAAGAAAAGAGAATTGGTGATATTACTGATGATCACAGATTAAAGGAACTTTGATATATTGTTTTAAGCTTTCTTAGTCATTTGGTCATATTAGAATTATAGTTTTTTACTTGGTCGTATTAGAATTATAGTTTTTTACTTGGTCGTATTAGAATTATAGTTTTTTGCGTGCTTGTTACCATGTACTTTGTTTTTAATTGAGTTTTAACGAGATTGCTACAAGGTACATGGTAACTATCCCGTAAAAGTTCGTCAGTCAGATAATATAAGCATTTTAAAAACATTTTTTGCTTCAATTTAGCAAGAAATGCCTTAGATAATAGGCAAAGTAGAGGAGTGAGGGCTCGCTACGTCACAATTATGTAGAAACTGTACAAAGGCGACATTTAACCTTAATATATCGCAATAATTTATTGGTTGCGCAAAAAAAAATACATGTTTAATATTCTTCAACGATCTACCTGACGAATAGACAAACAGAAATTCGACATCATCTATATTTAATTTATGAAAAGGCGTAACAGCAGTTAAAATTTCTAATATAAAGTAGAAAGGAAGTGACAGTCCAATAACACCACGACGCAGCAAAAACTTAAGCTTACGTTTGACATTCATCTTTTCAAGTATTTTACATATTCGTTTTGGAAATGCTGCCCAAAGTAAATATACCACGCGGACGAAGCCGCGGGAAAAAGCTAGATCATTCATAAGTTTACATTATTTTTATGTTAGATTTGAACCAACACACAATGAAAATAATGGCGTGCTCTTATTGTGGGAAAATAATGGAACAAATAACACACAAGAAAATGGATACCATTGTAGATTCTCGGTTTGCAATCTACTTTGAAACTGGATAGGGGAGACATTTGACCTTCACTGGCGCCCTACTAAAGTTTCAGATCATGATCCAAATGTAATCCAGCGTTGCTGATGCGGGTGTTTAAAACAATCTTATGTGGGAATCTTTGTAATACACGATTAATCCTACTGGCATGATTTGTAGTATATATTTATATTGATTTATTAATGACCAATAGTTATCTAGTTATAGTCATCGGCCTGTATATCCCCAGCGAAAAGGACTATATACAATACGATATTCTTAAACCTGAATTAACATATAGGTCACTTTTTTACCAATAAACGATTTCCTGGAGAACACGCTGCCGAAGCTATTGGCGGAAAGCTAGTTGTTCAATAAAAATTTTCAAAACCAATTGAAGTAAACCACAGAAATCGCCGGCGCCATAATGAATGAGTCATAATTTGTGAAATCTTGAATCTGTCTACTATCCACTTGATCAACTTTTATATATCTTTACTATTGCACGAGTTTAAGTAGTAGTATAATAATAGGACTCCATTTCACACATGTATATTGTATATTGACATTCATTAATTCACGTAGCATTAATAGGGTTAAGTAGTATTATAATCACCCAATAATAATATCAAATAGCTAACATTGACAGAATTACATTGATATTTATACATTGAACGATTAGTTTATCCCGTAAACCAATATCGATAAAATCACTCGTACACAATATCTATACCCATAGTAAGTTCATACATATTAAATAAACTTTTCTATATTGTTTCGGGTTTGGGTGTTATGATACCTTCGTTGTTGCAATACCTCCATAGTACGAGTGCTTAGCAATTCATTTTAGAATCGTATAGAAATTACCCAAGTGATTATGTACTTTTATTTATTTATTAACACAATATTGTATTTAAAAAAAATAAACATATTGTCACTTGATAGCGATACCATTTTAAATACATTTCTGTCAATTCTTGTCACGAAAGGCAAACTTAATAAATAACTGAAAGCTGTTGAAAATAAATTGCTTTCGAAATTTCGATATTAAGAGCAACACGATAAGCTAAATATAGACAATGACGTATTTCGTAATTTTCGAAACTCACTTTACTAATGTCTTTTATTAGATCAGGATGATAAATCGGTACGCATGTTACCTATATCAGAAATGATTTTAAATATATACCTCTACATATATATTACGTGTTTAGCAGTTAATTTTAGACGAGAATATACTGGGGTACTGTACCTATAGTCCAAACCCTAACTTTATCTTTTAAGTGTTTTAATAACACAGGAATATAATTTACAATTAATAATATAATTATTTAAAATAGTAACAATAATTTTTTCAACTTCACCAATAGTTATTATGGCTGTCATTCATTTTTCTATTGGTCTATAATAGACTAATAGAAAAATAATAATAGCCAAATTAACTAAACAAAATTTTCTTCTAAGCAAATCCACTAACTACATGACTCGTTTCCCATTTTAACTATGTAATTAGAACACAATTAGCTAGATTCAATCGTACCTTTGTAAGGGTATTGACCTTATTGATGAAGGTTTGTTCATTAATTAAAAGAAACTGTTTATTAAGTATCGTTATATCTAACGCTATTGTGTTAAAATGATCAATCCATTAGCAGTGAACTTGCGTTAATAAGCTTCTGAGTGTAACGCAGATGTGAACAATAGCTTTGCCCAGTCAATTTCGTGTGATTGACCTTTCTTTGTGTTGATTTTTATATTTTTCTTGTGTTGCTTAAAGTCATTGTTAAAATGTGGTTGTTATTATTTTTCAGTTAAAAGCAAACGGATCTATCTCTTCCAGCCAATTCTGGTGTAGAATTGATAAAGAATTTCCATTAAACTTGATTCTATTACTTTCATCTTAAATTTTAGTGATAAAAATAAGAATCATGTTTCATTAGCTCTCTGACATTTCCATGTTGTTCCGTCTCTGATCCAGTAAAATTCAATTTGTTTTGATCGCTTCGTTATTTTATCAAATACATCAAAGAGATACATGTCTGCTTATCTATTGAAATAAAAATAATAAAATGATTTCTTTCATCGACATCGTATTACATGATTTAAATAATAATATATTAGATAATAAAAATCCATAAAAATATAAATGTAGCTGTTAAAATACCATACAGTTATAAAACAAAGAATTATAAAAGTTAATTATTTAACACGGACGTGTAGGCGTGTTCGTTTGCCTGTACTTAATAAAAAACAATATCTTTGATGTCAAAATGCCAGAGGTCGCATGCCGTAGTTTAGCGGTTTCAGTGGACTGATGTATTTTCATTATAATATTATAATAAATAAATTCATAGAACGTGATAATCAAGTTATTCAGAAATATTCATTAGTACCACGTTGGGCGCCAATGATGGCACAAATTTTGAATAAATAAAGCGAAACTTCCAACTACACTTTCTATCATAATACTTAACGTTTTATAACGAACGTTAATTAATATTAATACACTTATTTATGTTATTAATTAACATACATACAAATTTGATTCATAGTAAATCAATTTGTCGCAATTTTGTCACCCAACACACCCAACAGTTCTATACGAAATATTATCACTTCTTATTACCATCAATGAATAGTGTTAATTAAATAAATATTAATATATTTTACTAATCTCAACCTCAGCTAGCATATTGTTTAAAACTAATTGCTATTAACAACATTATATTTTTTTTATCAATTTATAAATTAAAACCAATCAATAAAAAGTTTTGATTTTTCCTTCAAATTCATGTTTTGTAATTATGTTTCTTATTTCATACCATTCCAAACACACGAGTATGAATTACATGACCATATAAAAAACTCGAGTAAACAAAATCAAAATGTAGATGATATTTAATTTCAATGTCATTAAAAATATAAAAAGCGACTCAATTTACGGTATTCAACTAGGTTAAGATTTACTTCATCCGAGCAAATTATTCATAATTGCCTAATTTGCGCCTTTACATTAAGAAATAAGCCTCAATTAGGACAATTTTGACTTAGTAATTTTAGACAGAAAAGTATGATATTCGGTATATATATATATATATATATATATATATATATATATATATATATATATATATATATATATATATATATAAAATCACGTTTGTTACATGGGAGCCCCCTTGAATATTTATTTTATTCTGTTTTTTAGTATTTTTTGTTATAATGGCGACAGAAATCCATCATCTGTGAAAATCTCAACTCTCTAACTTTCTCGGCTCATGAGATACAGCCTGGTAACAGACGGACAAACAGCGAAGTCTTAATAATGGGATTCGCGTTTAGCTCTTTTTTCCTTGACTATAAACTGATTTAATAATTAACAAAAAAGTTAATTTTAATGTATTTTAAAAGAAAAAGTTTGTATACTTATAGTTGACTATTTTTTCCTGTAAGTACATACGTATTCAAAAAGAGATAACGCTATAAAAAGTTATACAAAAAACTCACAAACAAACGAGAGTAGATTCTTTTAAGTATTTCTACAATCACACAGTGTAAAACGTGAAGTAGTAGAGCAAAAATGATACAACTCATTAAGTAATACATTTATTTCATTGTGAAGCAGATACAGATTTTTAGCTATACCCATTATCTGATTTCTACACATCTATATGCATATCACAATATGACTAGCTAGCTCCTCAATTACGCAGGGCGACGGAGGGCGGACTGGCGCCAGGCGGTGACGGAGACATGCCCGTGGGCGGCCCCAAGACGCCTCAGCAGATTGCCGCCCAACGTCGCTTACAGCAGACACAGGCGCAAGTCGATGAGGTTAGTACCAAATAAATCATATTTTAAAAATATGTTTGACATAAGTTTTTTTTATTAATGTGCGTTTTTTTCAATTCAATAAAAAGGTTGTAACAGCATTTTTAAACAGATTTATTATCGGCCTATTAAATTTAACGTAACGTTCTCGAAATTAAAATTGTAAATAGAACAAAAGTGAAATAATCACACGTGACGAGAGCACGTGACTCATTTCAATAAAGTTATACAACATATTGAATAATGTATATAATTTTAGGTTTATAATATATAAATGCACCTTTAGAACATTTTGGATTAGTTTTTGTTTTTCAAAAGACCGGTTCATCGAGAAAATTATCTTTGAAACAATAGCCTGACATCAACAGGCATATGAAGAAATTATTCTATAAAATACCAACATATTCGTAAGTGACACATTTCCTAGAAACAAGCCATTATATTAGGGTATAGTAATGACTCTACAATACAATTTTGACAGCATACATCTCGAAAGCGTAACGTTTGGAAACTTTGTCTAACAATAACTCAAGATTCTATTGACGTCAGTTCCTGTCACAGATAAATTAATTGACATGACGCCATTTTGAAAAAAAAAATATGGGTCGTTATAATAATGAGTTTTATACTAATTGTAATATTTTAAACCATTTCATATGCCTAATATCCACAGAATATTACATTAATTTAATCAACAATAAAACTACACTTAAACTCTCCCTCGCTCACGCTACAAACTGTCGTTCATCAATTAGTTAATGTGATTGAGCATCTTTCATTCTTAGCATACCTACTGAGAGACAAGATTATTAATCAAGTCACATTTCTCAAAATTAATGGTTATGTGTCATTGAAATGAGACCAGTGAATTTACAGTCAAATTTTTGTAGTCATTTAAATTTAAAGCCTACTTCAATTTATTGTCTATGCTAATATTATTATCTGTAAAGGCATTTTGGAAACTTTTAAAAGAATTGTGCTTTATAATTTATTTGTTGTTTAATCTCCTCCAGAACAATCATAAAACAAGCATAAATTTCTGCGACATTTTCGAAAATTTAGAAATAGATATTTATAATTCAGGTTCTCATTACAAGCGCTTTGATTTGATGATTATTTTTGTAATGAAGCACCCAAGTTGTGCCCAAATGGGCCAACAACATTCTAATGAAATTCATAAAGAAGCACAAATAAATTTTCAATTCAATTTAAAAGTGGAAATCTAAGCAACTGTTAATCATATGACGCAACCGCTTCATCTCCAATCCATTCGTAATCCCTGTGGCTTTCGAATGGGGGACATCCCCTCCTCCGTTTTCCTAGATTGACGTCACCGTAGAAAATTTCCAATAGGAAACGATATACCAGTACCTACTTACTCTTCAAGGGAAATCGTGATGTTACTTAGTGAAAAATGTTTTCGCAATAAAATAAATATCTCAAACTCTCAACACAAGCGACACAAATTGCAAAATTTAATATGGCATAATTAAATCTTAGTCTGTGAAAAACATATATTAAACATATTTACGTAATAATCGCATCTCGATAGAATCACAACGACTTCAATTTTCCCATTGTACTATTAACTAAAGTCAAAATATTACTAGTGCAATGTGATCCTCACACATCAATGGTGACAGATATATAATAATATTGGACTTTAGGTAAATAGACCTATGGCAAAATATGTATGTCTCATGTCATTGAGATTCTATTGAAATGCAATTATTACGTAAACATTAACGGGATTGGCCTGCTGACTGCGTTGTCTACATACATTTTAATACATTGCGACTATTAGACCGTATTAGCCGTATATGTTTAAAAGATATAGTTCCCAGAAAAATTTTATCTCCAATTTTACTGTTTAATTTATTTAAATTAAGACAGATGAACATCTGTCACAGAGGTAGTTCGAAATGCAAATCAACTGATACTGAAACACATAAATTATTTTTTATATTTCTGTGGTTTGAACGATCATCGATAAAGCAGAAAAAATATCGTCGTGAAAAATCAAATCAGTAGTTGATCGAGAAATTAAAAAAAGAACCCTTGTTGGGTTTCTTCTCTGTATAACTGAAGATAGTAACTGATGGCATTTCGATATTCACAAGTGCTTGAAACTTATAGCCTAGACTGAATATATAAAATTGAATTTAATCATAACGTACACGTATAGTACTATGAATGCACTGCACACTGAACTGCTAGCAATAGGGATGATGACTGGGTAAAAAAAATGCAATTCTATTTAGTCCGTCAGTCAGATAATAGATAAATATTAGATACGTATTTTTTTTTACTTCAATTTAACAAGAAATAGCTTAGCTAACAGGCATTAAAGTTGAGGAGTGGGGGCTCGCTACGTCACAGTTGAGTAGAAAACGTACCCTAACGTGACGTCATGCGAAATTTCAACTCCATGTAACGCCGTAATTTTATGATAACGAAAAAAATAAGTATTTTTTATTTTTTTCGTGTTTAATATTTTTTAACACTCTACCTGACGGACAAACAAACAAAAAATAGTCATCATCCCTATTCGGGCGTAAACAGCAGACGTAACCGCCCTCGATCTTTCGGACGCACGACAAAAAGAATCGCAGGATGTCGCAAACAACTTTGCACCACGACTTACAGATATGTCTTATTTGTTTCCGCCTTTATTCAACGCTTGAAACAATAAAATTTATAGGCACAATATTCTCTACAATTTGTATTATAGAGCAAAAACTCACATGATCAGATATTATCATCTTTTACCAATAAAGCGCGATACCGCATGCAAAATTATATTACACGCTAACCACTGCCCCATCAAGCAGAAGTTAAGTAACTTTCGCAAGGTTCTTAAACTACTAACAACGAAGCACCCACCAATCCGCATTAAACCCACGTGTGAGTTATGACCCATTCTTCCTATTCGATTCCATCTAAAGAGAAGACCTGTGCCTCAACAGTGGGAATATTAATAGACTGGTGATGATGATAATAAAATGTTTCAGGTGGTGGACATCATGAAAACGAACGTGGAAAAAGTCTTAGAGAGAGATCAGAAGCTTTCGGAACTCGATGATAGAGCAGGTGAACCTACAAATTAGTTTTATAAATTTAATATCACTAATAGGTGTTAGTCGAACCCACTTAGTATAATTTACGACAAGTAGGTGTAGATTATAATCAAAAAAGGAGTATATACTTATTTTTGGTGCTAATATTTAAAAAATCAATTCACCTCCTTAACCATCCATAAGGAAGTCCTAAGCTCCTGCAATAGGGACATAAAAGGGCTGATGATGACGATTCAAAAAAACAATAATGACTACATAACGTCTTTTTATTACAGATGCGCTGCAACAAGGTGCTTCACAGTTCGAACAGCAGGCTGGGAAACTGAAAAGTAAATTCTGGTTGCAGAACTTAAAGGTAATAATAACAGAGCTTTCATGAAACAGATACAGAAACAAATATAGTTCAACCGGGTAAACTTAACAAATATCTTTTGCTAATGTGAAATTCCCTCAAGTAATCGATAAATATTTCTCAACTCAATCATATACTTAAAGTATGACTTCCCAAAAAGAGTGTATAAAGTATAAATTCGGGGTTTCAAAATTTGTTCTTGTCAAACCTTGTTCTACAAGTGATACTTTTGAAACTACCTTCCTTAGCAAACCTCTTACCATAAATATCAGACAAAGGCATATACCGTTATTCAGATTCCAAGTTAAGTAACTAAAGGACTTTTATTATGGAAATCTGAAACAGTAAAGGTATCACAAGTCCTATTATTAGCTATACAATTATTAAAAAGCGGAAAGATTCGATTGTTTATTTGAATAGGCTCCAAAACTACATGACCATTTTTAAAATTTTCTCTTTCTGCTTTTTCAGCCCTCTGTAACGCATAGTTATAGTCATTTTGTTCTAAAGCCTGGCTTTGTGCATCCAGTTTAGCCGGCACAGTCATTTAACATCATCTGTCCATATTGTTGGTTGTCGTTCGACATTTCTTTTTCCTGTCTTTACCAACAGGGAACTACATCATACTCGAGTGACCGCGAAGTCGCGAGAAATCACCTAGTAAACAATAAGCGAAATTAAAAAAAAACATGAAAAACATATCATTGGTAAAATAAAAATAAATTTAATATCCAAATTTCCCGCGAAATAACACTTCTGTGATGGCGTCGCTCTGACGTCATACCACTTTGAAACGAATATCGTTCTATGCATGCATAAGGTTGAATTCTCTGAGGTCTGATATGAGTGAAAAGGGCATGACGTCTCGCGCTTTTTGCGGTCATATGAGAAAGAGCATAAAATGTTTGTTTTTTCCTTATATTATAAATGTAATAAACGTAAAAGTGTATTAAAAGTAAAAGTGTATTAAACACAACCAGAAAAAAATATTTCGTTTACTGTCCACACCCGTATTATGATAGCCGTTCATATACAACCCATATATAAATTTTATTAAGTGTCTTAAATCCTAACCATTTCAGATGATGATAATCGCAGCTGTTATCGGTATAATCATCTTGGCCCTAATCATCGGTAAGTTTGAACCGTATTGATATACATATACGTCTTATTTTGAGTTGTTTATTTTTTACACTAATCATAACATTATTATTTCCAAATTTTCAGCCAACTTTGTGTGAACAAGTTTCGGTAAACGAAGTTCGATTTAGAAGTTACTTGTTATAATATTATTGAATAGTATAACGTATGTTATTTTTTGATTACCTATAAGCCTATTTTGGTAAGTGGGCGTATGTGGTTGTTAATAAATGAATGTTGGCTTTCTCTGTTCTATTGTCACTCTGTCACTATTCAAGTATGTTACGCAGTTTTTGAAGTCCTCTTGTAACTTCTTTGGATCGGCATTCATATTAGTGATTGTTATAAAATTTTCAGAATTATCTCCTCTGCGTCAGATCTGTCTCTTTTTTTTTTTCATTGTTCTATGGTTTATTTATTGAATGTAACCTATTTCGAAGCTTCCCTAAATATAATGAAATATACTTGTTGATGTGTCTCATTTAACACGGTTGCATTAGTTTTGAATCACATTAAGATGGCAGTACTCTAATTTGATGATATTTACAAGATGTTTATTATATAAGTACCTATCACTTTGTAAATAAACTTGAAAGTTTTTTGCACGCTTTACTTTCGATTAAGGTGGAATGTTATAAGGATACTAGAAGACCCGAAGTACTTCGTATCACCTCTCACCGTTTAAACCTTCCCTAAACTAAGACATACACCCCGGCGCCCGGCGGCCCCAACCATTTCTCTCTCGGAAAGGACCGCAGGGCGACGGGGAGACCCGTTTTCATAGCACCACTTATATATATTTGTACATCTCATACACGTATATATTACATCATTTAATATGTATATTTTTATTCCATTTATATCTTATGTATAATCTTTCCTATCTCCGGAGGGAGTGAGTGTCCTGGGTCCATCAAGACGTTCCCCCGCCTCCTCCCTCCTTCTCTTCCGCGATTCTCCGCGACTATCTAAGTGTATTCATCATCGTCATCATACAAGTATATATATTATCTTTCCTATCCCAGGGGGTAGGGGTTTCAGGGTCCATCTAGAAGTTCGCCGTTCTCCTCCCCCTTCTCTTCTGCACCTCCCCTACTTGATAAGGGGTGGTACGATCCCCCCTCACAAGGGGGATCTAAAGCAAACTTTTCATTGTTCCCATTTTAAAACCAAGTCAGCAAAAAGAAAAAAAAAAAAAAGAAGAAAAACTAAGACATACATTTCAAAATCAGTTAAATCGGCCAACCCGTTCTTGAATTTTAGCGAGACATTTTCGCATTTTAGAGATAAGTAGTAAGAGGATAATTTCCCTAACACCAGAATAGAAGCTGACTTAATATTTCAGTATATTTTGCTTTCATACAAAAATAAATTATAATTTAATTTACTCCTCGAACGTTATGAATACTACGTGCATCTAGTATCTAAGATGTAGGTATTTCACAAAGAGATACCTCTGTTATGTAAATTAAAAAAATTAATAAAAAATTAGGTACCTGTGACAAATAAAGGTTTAAAAAGCTAAACAAAATTATGAATTTAGTACATTCATAATAATATCTTGTAAACATATCGTCTAATCTAATACTTTTTTTCATTTGACGAGCTACAGCGCCCAATTTTAGTTCAAAAAAGTATTGCCATGTTTAAACGTGATCAGACAAATATTCATGGAATAATAAAAAAAAATACAATATTAAAAATCAAATCAGAGCAGACCAACCAAAATGTAACAAAACTATATATTGTTAACAATTAAAATTATGTAATACTTTAATTTTCTTTTAAGTTCTTTTTTAATATTCTTTAGAGATGTGTTAAAGAAATCTATGATTGACAGTTTCTTATTATATATAGGTAGTGGTGGAACGATAAAAGAATGCGTTTCGGGTGTAATTTTTCCTTTGACGCGAAATACTAAATAAAAATAATATATTTAAGCAAGTAATACAAAAGAATAATTGTAATCTGAATCTCGGAAACGGCTCTAACGATTTTCATTAGTATTCAGGGGGTTTCGAAGGGCTATAGATCGATCTAGCTAAGTTTCATTTTTATAAAACCAAAAATAGAATCATCCGGTTACCTCTATTAATACGTGAAGCAAACATTTAGAACCTCTTTAAGAAAATTGCCCGAACGAAGAGGTATGATATTCAACACACCTATTATGTTTGTATAAGTCATTCCAATACACTGTAGTATAAAGTGTGTTGGTATTTAAATACCAACCGTTTTATGTACTGAAACACATATAAACAATAACGTAACTATAGTGTGTGATAATAAAACTCTAAAATGTTGTTGCGCAACATTATAAAGTTGGGTATCCTCATGATAAAAACTTTATTTAATCAAAGGGTGAAAAACAACAAATTCATCAAATGAAAACTAGCGCAATCTCTTAACAAAACGAATGAAACCGTGACTTATTATCATTTTATGATAATAATTTCGTACTGTCAAGTAGAGTCACTTAACTGTTATAAGTAGGTATGTCACTTACTACTTACTGTGTATTTATTTCACTAATATGAATGACTTCAGAAAATTTCGCTTTTGCAAATGTGTTTATTCTTGTGTCTCGGATTGCTCTTTATCAATTACTAATTAAAGATAAGCATTCCAAAATATATATGTGATAGATAATTAATCTAAAAAGCTTTATAAATCTGTTAATTTATCCAAGAATGCGTCGCTTACATGAACCCCGAGTTACGTTGCTTTTCTGTTAATAATACATAAAAAAAATAAAGTTGAACCATAGATGTTTGTACGTAAAATATACTTAAATTCTGCATACGAAACAGCTTCCTTGTTAAATTAATATCAGGCTTTATAATAAACTCACTGCTATGCTTAAAATGTATAATGACTTAATAAAATCTGTAAATACAGATCTATTTGTCTACATGTGAGACGATATATTCCAATTAATAATATAAAATAATAATTGCAAACTATTGAAGATAATGGCTTTAAAATTGACTTTTATAATCAATGTCTAAAATGTAAAAAACGTCAGTAATATTAATAATGTTTCATAATATGCATGCATTTTTTACTTTACAAAACTTTTTGAAAATACTAATTTAAAGCAATGACGAAATTTATCTTTTTGTGTTGTCCAGTGAAAATGAAAAGCACATTTTCTGTGAATATCGTGTTTACTTTTCTTTTTAATAATTCAAGATTATGACATATTTATAATGTGTTTCTAGGTCTGTAAACACTCCCAAGGAGGATTCTTGATAAGGTATAAACTAGTATTATTTGCTATAAACTAGAATTTCTAGCACCTAAACACTCTTTGACTGTAAATATAATTCAACAATAAATTTTATATTAAAGTTGTAAAAAACATTTTTCTGTTAGGTCCCATTTAGAAAACTAGTCAGTCCAATTCATTTATTTAATATTTTTCAATCTTATTTTTTTTTAATTTAATATACTCGTATATTATCATCATCACCAGCTCTTTTACGTCCCCACTGCAGGGGCTCAGGCCTTCCTTATGGATGGTTAAGGAGGATGGGCCATGACCCTCCACGCTGGCCCAATGCGGATTGGAGGGTATTAACGACTGCAAATGCAGCCGGGACCAACGGCTTAACGTGCCTTCCGAAGCACGGAGTAGTTCGAGATAATAATTTTTTTGTCACCCATCCCGTGACCGACCCTTGCGAAAGTTGCTTAACGACTACGATCGCGGGCCACGGCGCTTATCCACTACGCCACCGAGCTACTCGTATATTAAAATTATCATTAATGCATTAAACTATAAATACATTGAACAAGTTTACTTCAAATCCTATTAATATTATAAATGTGAAAGTTTCTTTGTTTGGATGTTTGTACGTCAATCACTCCGAAACTACTCAACGGATTTTGATGAAATTTGGTATACAGATAGGGTGTTAGCTGACTTAGATAATAGGGTACTTTTTATCCCACTAAACATTTCCCTAAGGTCCACGCGGGCGAAGCCGCTGGCGAAAGCTAGTAGGTAAATAACTTAAAATAATATAATGTCAATGGAATTTACGTTTCAGGTTTTGAATTTGAACTGGACAAGAAACTACCACAGCGAAAAATAATACAGCAAGCAAATTAAAACAGAAAATTCATACTCTAGTGTTAAACCGTAGATACTAGTTGTGACACCATATTATACAAATAATATATTAACATAATGTTATAATAACCAGGAAAACTCTGTATCACATTAAAAATATCCTACGAATATATATTTTAGAATCGACATCACTATCAAAACATTTTTTCGATATTCGATAAAAGAATAGTATTTTTAGATAATCTTTCTTCAATACCTTGGATTTATCAAAATAAAACTTATATCCGAAGTCATATCTAACGTCGCTATAATTATGTTCAATTAATTGTTACCTCAAAACTAATTATTATTCAGTTTCGGACCAAAAATTTCTGATGCGGTTTTTAACCAAATATAAAACATTTCCTAAATAATATTTGATTCGTATTGCTTTTCCGATTGTTATCTCTTGAATAAAAATTACTTCTAAGTGAACTATTCTATCTGTCTATGCTTAAATATGAGATAATGTGAAATCACTTTATATTAGATGTTGACATGTGTTTATATGAGATAGAAGTTAATTAGGTTTAAAAAATTGTAGCAGTCCATTTGGAAATGAAGACGTTCTCAAATCATTACCATTCCATAAATAAACATCAACGACTGATAAAAATGATAACATTAATTTTTACTTTTATAAAATAAGGCAGTATCAAACTGTTTAAAAAATAATTTCCACCTTTTTCATACTAATATTTATTTATTTTTTATTTTCTATTTAACGAGTCGTGTTATGTAGTAAGTAGTTCAATGTCATTTGATGGAGTTTTTTTTTTAATTCATAATTAACTTATTATAACGTTGCCATTGCAAAAAAATAACTCGTTTTTTAAAATATAATCATTTTAGATGTAACCGTGATTTCTATTTGAAACGAAATTTGTAATTAATCGAGTTGTTGTTTGTAATAATAATTATTGAATTATTATTAGAAAAAAATATTATAGATATTTACGCTATCTGGAAATTAGGTTTTATCTTAACAGGCCGAATATAATTATGTATTAATAGTGTAACTAAAATACATGATATTTAATCTTTGTGTGTTACTATATGTAAAAATTGCTTCATAGTTAGACATTGTAAAATATCACTTTAATAAAATTAGGTGTTCTGATTATCATTGAGCAACGCGTTTAAAAAAATAAAAACAAAAATATTTATCAATGGGAAATGGTGGACAGTGTTTACTAATATTTGTAGTTTGTAAAAACAGCAGTTTTCATGTTTTTATCAATATAAGGTGTCAATGTCGGTATCCAAAAGTAAGAAAAAGTAGACAATAAATTATACTGACGAGCAAAAATATGTTCCAAAATAAAATAACCTAAATTTTGAAATAAAAACAAAGTCGTCTTGTCGTTTCAAAACTTAAAAAGAGATGACATATTGTAGTACTTTATTAAGAGATTAAATACCTGTAATTTATCGGCGGCCTTTTGGCAAAGATCAAAGTAGCAAAAATAGTTTTTGCTCGTTGAAGTATAAATGTATACTTTTAAAATATTTATTTATCGTTAAGGATACACGATCTCGTCGTATTAAAATATTTTTAATGGATACCGACTATCATACAAGTTCATAAAATACATTTCGATAATGTAGTCATTCATATAATGAGTGTAGCTAAGTTGTATCAAGTTTAAATGACTCTATTTTTGAAATGCAACTTTTACCTACGCCTAGTTAAGTATTTAAATATATAGAAATAATGAATTATTATTAAATATTCCTGTGCCCTCCTTTAAATATTCCATAAACCTAGTGATCAATTACACTAAAACCGAAGACAAAGTCGTGAGATGCTATGAAAATTAATGAATTATTAATAAAAAAAAAGGCGTAAATATTTAAAACCCACATTTCTGTCTATCTATCATGCATAATCTTATTGCAGTAGGCCAATTCTACTAAATAAATTTTATTTAAATCAAATCGAAACCGAATGAAACTAGTTTTTTATGGTTTTCCTATTCTACAAAGTGACATACGATACAATTCCAGTTCTATTTTAGCTGGAATTGTATCGTATGTCACTTAGTAAAATAGAAAAACCATGAAAAACGGTAATTTCGACCCGTTTTCGATCCATTTTCGATTCGATTTAAACAAAATTTATTTAGTAGAATTGGCCCCCTGGTCTTCTTTATTTTTGGTTATTTTAAAAGTACTAAAATAAAAGTTGTAACATTAATGTAAAATTTGAATTTACTAAATATTTTGCCTAGTTGTGAATAACGTGGTATTATGAATGAATGGTAATAATAATAAATAACTTTGAATTTTGCATTTCAAGAATTGAGTAATCAATAGCTTTCACTGTAAGGTAAAAAGAAAATACACCAGAATTGTATGTTATGGACTTAAGAAAAACTGCTAATTTAAAGATTAAAAATTGTTAAAGGATTTTTTTTTATCAGTAAATAACATTTTAATCTTTAATTTAGCCACTTAGAATTTAGTGCTTAGATATAACTTTAGTGTTACGACGATAGTAAAATTTTATTATTTTTAAGTCGATGTAGTAATTTTGTGATTTTTATCTTAATTTTATTTTTCAGTTGGTAATGCTTTTCGTATAAAATAAATAAAAATTAGAACAGGCTTTAGTAAATCAGGGATGTTATCTACATTTAAATCAGTTTATATTTTCTAAACTTCAAATACACCCATGATATGCTACTTTTTACTTAGATACAATAAAAATAACATTAGAGCCACTGCTTAACTACAAGGCTGCTAAGTAATTTTAAGAATCACGTAACAATTTTATGTTGTTAATGTTATTGGAAAACAATATAGGTTTATATACATAATTTTAATAAAAAAAAATATACCTTCCTAACGTATAATTTTAATAAATATATTTATATAACATTTGAAAAAACATCTTCGAAAATATTAATAAGATTTTTTTAACATTATCGAGCTCGTAATGTTGAAAAGTCTGTGTATTGTATTTATTGTTTAAAGAAATATTTAATTAATTATGTAATTGATAGTAGTATAAATTAATATTAAACATGTTAATCGGTTCGTTATTTTCTACCAATCGTGATCTGCTAAATTGTTTTAAGAACAGTCAATCAGCTCATCAGATTACACAAAACTGTAAAATCTCATCAATCGATATTAAACCATAAATCTTTTAGAGTTTAAAATCAATTGTGATAAATTTACTTTTTTGATAACTCGATGTGCCGATTTATATTCGAAAACTAATTGAAGTTGTTGAGTAATGAATGACGCCGGCAAAACGATGTGCGATAAGCCTAGGCAGATCATAATCTGGCGGAATAAACTATCGAACTACGACATAGATACATAAATGCAAACCTTTACAAAAGAATTGCGATAGCGCCACTTTAATTATTTAATAGCAATTTACTTAATATTTATTTATAAAGTAATTAATTTAAGTTAAACTAGGTATATATTTATCTATATTGTTACAAATACTTAGTTTACTTTATAAAATTTACAACCAAGTGTATTATTTTAACATCAAAATGGAAATGATAATTCCAAATACTATACATACTTGTATAAAAGCATCGTTTATATTCAAAATTCACAACATTAATCAATATTAATCGCATAGACATTTAAAATGAAAAGTAGGTTTTACCTGCCCTTAGATATTCACTGCATAATATATGTACCAAGATGTAATTATTGCTTGATTAAAAATAAAAGCAACTTTATTAAAATAATGTGTCTTCTCATTTTCCCAATGTCAATATTTAAAAAACACTCATTTTTCAAATACTATTTATGCCTTTAACGAAACGGATAAACATATTTGTCGATAATTGATCAATATTAAATGTTACAATTGAATATCAATAAACGTATATTGTATTATAAGTATTTACTTTTATTTAATTTACAATTCATATCACTATAAACTAATTCATGGACAAGGCATCCAATGGCAAGGTTTCAATCAGTTAGGGAGAATAACTTTCAAAAATCGATGTTGTTTAATGAAATACGTTTAAGTAAGTTGTAATTTAAAATGGGAGCACAACATTATATTTTCCATATTCAATCCCAACCAAAACGTGAATTTAGAATCCCGATAGAAAAAAAAACAAAGTTTCCGAAAAGATAACATTTTTTGCATTTCTTGTAG